AGTGTGGTGGGGCAGTCGAGCCTCCGAGCCTTAAGTCAGGCTTTCTGCGGTCCCAAGAACTGATCAGACGACGCGCTACGGTAGCCAACGGAGGTCAGCCAACACCTGATTCGCTGGCACTACGGTCGCGCTGTCACTTGCCTGTGTCTCGCTGTCACTTGCCTGTGTCTCGCTGACACTGCCTGTGTCTCGCTGTCACTTGCCTGTGTCTCGCTGTCACTTGCCTGTGTCTCGCTGTCACTTGCCTGTGTCTCGCTGACACTTGCCTGTGTCTCGCTGACACTTGCCTGTGTCTCGCTGACACTTGCCTGTGTCTCGCTGTCACTTGCCTGTGTCTCGCTGTCACTTGCCTGTGTCTCGCTGTCATTTGCCTGTGTCTCGCTGTCACTTGCCTGTGTCTCGCTGTCACTTGCCTGTGTCTCGCTGTCACTTGCCTGTGTCTCGCTGCCACTTGCCTGTGTCTCGCTGTCACTTGCCTGTGTCTCGCTGACACTTGCCTGCGTCTCGCTGACACCTGTCAAGCGTTCGCGCCCGTTAGTAGCTTCCTCCTGACACGCTGGGAAAGGTGCTTCGTCTCTCTCACTTTTCAGCTCGGTAAGCGAGCATAATTGTGGTGACCTGCCATGAAGAAATACGGGGGCATTGCCTTGGGCAGTGCTGCTGAAGGAAGAAGTTGTAGTTCCGCCCCCAAGCAGGAGCATGAGCGCCAACAGTGTAGGCTTGAAGAGGCATGTCACACACGTGCTTCTGGTCACGTGCTCTTTGGCTGTCGTCTCCAGGTAGTCCCTCAGCTCCTGGTGCGTCTTGGCGTCTTTCGAGTACAACCTCTGCAGCAAATGGTGACAGTAAGGTGTACTCTTCCCGACTCACCCACCAGGCTTTGTAGCTACAGCGCTGCAAGAGGCCCTCAAATCCGAACGCACCTCAGCTCCCGACAAGCCTCCGTCCGCAGAAGAATCGCGGGCGAATCTCACTGCCGTCAGGTTCAGTCAGCAGTGAAACGCGGCATGGCTGTCGAAAGTCCACAGGTCGGAAGAGCCAGCCGGTTGGATGGGTTTCAATGTTCAGCAAGACCGAGTGGTGGCGGGCTTCGCCCCTAAGTCTAAGGCGATCGTGGTGCTTGGGCTGATGGTCGACTCACCGCCTGACAGATATTATTCCGTCTACGCTTGCGTGTCTCGAAATGATTCGCAATGCTCTCCGGGTGCAACACACGCATTTTAGAGCCGACCTCGACTGGTATCAGACTGCATGCCAAGTCTAATCCAGCGACCCCTAGCGCCTGACCAGCCTCATACTTCACTCGCACAGGCACGATGCACACTCCCGTGAATGTCCTGGGCTGTGTAGGTGCACTGACGAGGGGACCTGCCGTCAGCGTAACTATGAGCGCAGCGTTTGGTGGCGGCGTCACCAGCAGGACAAACGGAAAGGCCTTCAACAGCGCCCTCAGGGCATACCGTCTCATTATCCTGCCGCAAGTCTTTTACGTACCAGTAGCTGAGCGACTGCACGGGAGCAGCACACAAACTAGTGTAACAAGGGGCACTGAGCACCAACAGGATGCGGATCGATCGCCCGACGGAGCATAAACACTATCAATCTAGCCCCGGAGTCGCCAGCGTTTAGCCGGACGTGATTTTACTATGCTTATGTACGTTGTTACGCTGTTTGATCTGTACCCAGCTACTCTGCTCTAGCTGTGTTTCGGCTTGCACTGTTTTCTAGGCAGCAGACAGCCTCGCTTCCGATTAAAGCCACTTTAACGGGATTTCAGCACCCTTTGGGGCTACAGAAGCGTGATTTGTGAGCTAAAATATCACGTCCTGGCAGAGTTGTGAGCCACCATGGCTGTCGCGTTGCAGAGACGAGTTTCTGAATGAGCACTGTAGTACATCCGATAGTACATGTCTATGTATGCGTTATAGTCTGTTATAGACATGTGCATATAACGCACTATTCCATGCATTGTGATTCATAACACATGTAGCCGATGCGAGTTGTACCCTTCCAATGAGTACGAGGAGATGACAAACGGCATATATCAACCAAAAGAAGGATTTGACTGCGTTGTAATTCAGTTCGACCTTTGGATTTTTCGTTGACCTTGACGGTGACCCGATGCATTAAAATAACCCCGCCGAAACGGGCTGTCTGCCATCGAAAATTCTCATCAACTGATATCACACGATCCCCTAAGTCATCGCGATAAAACCTTGAAACTGGACCAGTATTTAACATGACGGCGGTCGCCATATTAAATCTGATAAATGTGCAAAGTCGCGCAAGAGCAACCAAGCTAATATGGCTCTACCACCGATGTACAGCTAGCTATACAGGATGTTTGTTTCAAAATTGCGGAAGTTTGTTTACATTGCATGGTCTCATATGACAAGTATCATGGGGCAACTCGACTGCACAAACCCATTCAAGTGAAACGCGTCTTGTATAAACACGCGTTGGATAAATAGCGTACAGTTACATACTTATATCATCTAAAAATGCAGTTCCTGTGAGTGGTACCCTTGCAACAAGCACGAGAAGACAATGAGTGCTAAATATAGCTCAATAAAGGGGATTGTGGTGGTTCATGACAAAATTTGACCTCTGGCTTTCGATTTGACCTTGACTTTGACCTCATTCATTACAACTGACAGAAAGGGACTCCCTGTCATAGAAAACCCGCAACACCGGTGTCACGCGAGCCTCAATGTCATCGAGAAAAAGAGCTTCGAAGCTGGGCCAACACTCAAGATGGAGGCCGCCGCCAATGAATTCTAAGAAGTGCTCAAAGCTGGACAAGTAGCAATTTTTCCAGTTGGGTATCCTGGCTACAAAGCCCAGTATTTTCTCATCACGGCCTAATATTTTCTGTACGCCACATCACATGACCACAAAGTCCTATGGTTGGGGACGACACGCGCCTGTTGACGTCGCTGCTAGGTTTGTTTGTTTTGTTGTTTGTTTGTTTTTTGTCTGCCCGTCAGCATTAAGAGAAAGCGTTACCAGATTAAACAAATCGCTCTCATAAAGGAACACGAGTTTTATATTGTACTCCTTGAGTTTGCGAGCACTTTGGGGGGGGGGGGGGGCTCCTATTTTGGGAGAATGTGACATGGGATCAGTAAGAAGGGACGTATGCAGCCTGACTGAAGGTTGTCATGGAAAGGCGAGTGACAGGGAGTTGTGAGGTTGTGGTTGTGTTGTGCAGTAAATTGATGACGTTGGAGTAATCGTAGGACATGGAGAACAGAAACAAAGCGTCTCGTGTTTCGAAGATGGGCATTGTCAGCACACGTATCAGTTGAAGGAAATGATGGTATTCATGTCAATGCTAGCAGCGGTGGAAGAAATAACTTATCGATACAGATGGAGCCAACAAATAAATGAGAAAGGAAATGGTTGCAATGAGATGGGAATGAAAAAAGCACCAAACTTACCGGTAGGTTAGGTAGTAGGTTAGGTAGGTAGGTAGTAGGTTAGGTAGTGATACCAAAGCAGGTGTCACACTTCTATATACCATGTTATATACAGTGTGTCAGGCTGGAACAAAGTTAAAAGGTGAGTAAAAAAGGAAGATAAAGGTAAAACTTCCCTGCCAGCCCTTACATCAAACGCCCCGTCAGTACGCATGACTCCACGCATTCCAGCTGACAATAGTGCTGACGACGGATGGAACAGGGCCATGAAGGACAGCGGTCTGGTCGGGAGATCGGTCAATAAGGGGGGGGGGGTCAGGTTACGGCCAGGGTCAGGTCAGGGGTTGGCGTTAGTGTTGGCCGGAGGGTGGGGCATGGAGCGGAGCGGGATCGTCGAAGTGCGCTTTGAGAGTTGGTAGGGGGGATAGATGTCGGACAGCTAAGACTTCGGAAATTGTAATGGTCTGAAGAGAACGGAAAGACAGCAGGAGATGGCAAGAAGCAAGACACAGGTGTGTGTGTGGGATATACAATGAAATAGCGCGTGAATGATGAAAAGGAGGGGGTTGTAGCAATGAAGTACTTGGGAGCTGATGTAGGAGGTTTTTAGCAATCTATTTTTTCTTAACCCGTCTCCCTTGAAACCCTGTTGTTCATTTTTTGAAAGTGATGGCCAACTATTTTGGGGAGTGGGACTGCACTGGATTTTATTCCCGCGCGTGGCACGTTTTGTGCAAAGTTGGAAACGAGAAAGATACCTATATTCTTCAGTATGCCCTTCAAGCATTACATGCCAGGTGTGTGTGGTTTTGGCTTCCAAGCTACTGTAATTTTAGTATGTCACAAATGTAATGCTTTTCACATAGGAAGCTTGGGTGGCTTTGCTTTGCCAACACACTAATGCTTTGGCTCTGTCAATATTTGCCCACCTTTGACTTTTTCAACCCACTAATGCCACATAGTTTGTATTGTGTACACAACCCAACACAACGGCAGTGGAAGAAGTGATCATATCAGATCCCCTTGTGTTAGAGCAAGATGCTAGGGCGGGTATCTACAGGCGTATGGCCTAGAACACTGAGATTTACGGTAGACTGGCTGCTTGTTAGCCGGCGCTATCGTAATGTATGAAAATGATCGTACCGCATCTCGCCGACCGACAGTGGATCTTCGCTTTCGGGAGTTACAATCCCGATACTCGCGTGTAACCTATGCGTGACCTGACGCAGTACCGGCTGGGTGCGGATACTCGACTTGACCCCGGGACGCGCCCAGCAAAAGCTCCTGAGGCCGCGACCTTTGGTTAACAGACGTAGGCGCCAGACAACTTCGTTCGGCGCTAGCCGCGGTGTTTCGCTGCCCAGCAGCCGTGTGTGTCAGAGCCTGTTCTTCACCCGTTGCCGACGGCGGTGCTCACTGTTTGGGATGGGTATGTGGCGGTGTTCGTAGACTGACAGACGTCTGTGTTCGGCATCTCCACCTAGTAATGACAGCGTCGCGCACTGGTTGGCATAGGTGCGTGGCGGTGCTTGTAGACTGACAGACGCCTGTGTTCGGCATCTCCATCCAGTGTTGACAGCGATGTGCACTGGTTGGCAGACGTACGCGGCAGACATCTTCTTCGCGCAGAGCTGGCGCGATGAGCGACTGCGCTTCAACCAGAAAATGCCGAATCAGACCGGCTACTACCGGCTGCTGCCTCTGCACTGGCTCAAGGACATATGGCACCCAGATTCTTACTTCAAAAACGCCAAACAGGTCACTTTCCAAGAGATGACCATCCCGAACCACTACGTCTGGCTGTACAACGATAACAGCATTCTCTACATGGTCAAGTGAGTGCTAGATTGTTAGAAGAGAGAGAGGAGAGAGAAGAAGAGAGAGAGCGGGAGAAGAGAGAGAGTGCTTCCGCTGCAGCTGACTTTAGACATGTGTGCCCGTCGTCTTGTTGTTAGCCGATCTCAGACCGACTATTGCGCACAGTTACAGATGAGGCGCTCCTTGTCCGTCCCGTCACTCAGTTTACTTCAGTGTCTGCCACCGATTCACTAATAGCTGGTGGTGTGGTGTTGAAACGCTGTGCACATTTGCTCCTGAGGGTCGGCCGCAGCCAGTGTCAGTGACAGCCGAAAAGCCAGGTGACCTAGGCGGGCAGAACGTACCATGCCATGCATTGTAAAATGTTAGGGTTTTGCTGAAAGATTCTGTCGTTGACCTGGATTTTCACAATTAGGACAGTGAAATCAGAGCTCACGCAACAGGCGCGCTTGGAATAGGCACTGATCCCGAGAAAAATTAATCTAAAGGCTCGGACTAAATTATTGAGAAAAGATTGACGATCTTGTCAGAATAATCGTTTTTTATGTTGAACAACCAGCAGACGATTCTGGGGCTGGCATCGCATCTGTTGTTGGAACGATCATAATCTCCATTTGGTTCAGTTAGAACTGTCGGCGCGTGTCTCAAAACTCAGCTGGCGGGGCCTGTCAGAAGCAGGTCTATCAGCTGCTGAGCATGGACCAGTTACTAAGCTGATCTTCGGTCAGAACTAGGCTGATCGTCGGTCAGTACTAAGCTGATCACCGGTCAGTACTAAGCTGATCGTCCGGTCAGTACTAAGCTGATTTGCCGGTCAGTGGCTAAGCTGATCACCGGTCAGTGCAAAGCTGATCACCGGTCAGTACAAGCTGATCGTCGGTCAGTGCGAAGCTGATTACCGGTCAGTACTAAGCTGATCGTCGGTCAGTACTAAGCTGATCATCGGTCAGTACTAAGCTGATCGTCGGTCAGTACTAACTGATCACTGGTCAGTACTAGGCTAATCGTCGCTCAGCACTAACCTGATCGTCGGTCATCACTAAGCTGATCACCGGTCAGTACAAGCTGATCACTGGTCAGTGCTAAGCTGATCTTCGGTCAGTACTAGGCTGATCGTCAGTCAGTACTAAGCTGATCACCGGTCAGTACTAAGCTGATCGCCGGTCAGTACTAAGCTGATCGTCGGTCAGTACTAAGCTGATTGCGGGTCAGTGCTAAGCTGATCACTGGTCAGTACTACAATGATCACTGGTCGGTACTAAGCTGATCGTCGCTCAGTACTAAGCTGATCGCCGGTCAGTACGAAGCTGATCGCCGGTCAGTACTAAGCTGATCGCCGGTCAGTGCTAAGCTGATCGTCGGACAGTACTAAGCTGATCGCCGGTCGGTACTAGGCTGATCGTCGGTCAGTAGTAAGACGTCTTGGTACTGGCTGTCAGCTGATAGCCCCGTGCTGGCTGTCATCTGATGACCGTGCGCTGACCATCGACTGATGACCGTGTACTGACCGTCGACTGATGACTGGGCACCGCCTGTCGTCACGTTCGCGGGCGCCCCGGACGATAATTTGTCACAAGCCTGGACCGATCGGCCCCGGACACAGGCCCGCGGCTGCTGTACGCAGGCCACGTTCTCGCCTTGACCAGCCGCTGAATCTTGTTCCATGCCCCGCTCGAGGGTCGAATTTTTTTCGCACCGCCGGCTAGACGTTTTCTGAATGTGTTGGCGTAATAAGAGCCTGCATATCTTGAATGACATGTCAACAACAAGACACGCGGGTTTAAGAGATTAGAGGGGCTGAGCTGAGCTGTGCTGCACCGCCGAAAACCACTTAAGATAACAGCTGCGTGTGTTTTTGGCGCTCACTGGCGAGCGTTTTTGGCGCAGACGCGCGGCACTTTGCGGGTAATGTTTCAGGCCGCGTCACGTTGCTGACTGTTGCCTACCTTTTGCCGTCAGAATTGCGAGATGCGTTTTCGTTCTGATGGCGTGTTGTCGCAGAAGATAGGCAGTTCCAGGCCGATGTCCAGATAATGATTTCATGTCTCTCCATTTGAGTTCAGCCGTATTCTGCATGCGAATCTAGGAGCATTCCCTGGACCTCAGCCGCAGACGCTAAGTCGTTTTCAGCCAACGCTGGGGCATAAACCGTTAAAAACGCCCAAAAAAATATAGGAGAAACTGTGAACAAATGTGTAAAAATATACAGAGTGCACTGCGAAGGCCTGTCTGAAGATCTAGCTACGCGAACTCTTCCAAGTTGTGCTTTGCAAAGTCTAGAATGATAGTGTAAACATACAATAGCTGTGTTAAACATACAATGGCTGTGTGTTTCTGCATAGCTATTTCCGAATGCGTGTTATTCGATAAAGGTGAAGTTTGGGGGGGGGGGAAGTTGTTTGGAGATCCTCAAGCTCACGAATTTTATCTTACACTTTGTTTAACAACTTTTTATAGGTTAAAGAAAATGGCATTGTAGCCATTTGTAAAAGCGGTGCGAATGAAAATGCCAAAGGCATCTGGCTTTGGGAGCAGCATGATATATGTGCCGGTTAGCGTTGCAAAGCATGTAGCAGCTAGTAAGGCGCATCAGTGGGGTGCTTTTGCTCATTAGAGGCGGGGGGGGGGGGGCTTTCCGTACCATCCAGATATGTTCCGGGGCCGTCTGGCACTACGTTGCCCTTCCCGACGCTTGCCAACTGGCCACTGCGCACCAGATCGGGCTGAACAGGTATCACTCCTCATTGTACGAAACCAGGTGGAATGGATTAACTGCCTTACATCCTATTTTATTCCCCTGACCACAGGGACGGCACATGACGTGATGAGCAAACTTACGGAATCTTTACGAAACTCACGCAAACTCACGTCCCACCCTGGCTCCACCCATATGTTATGAGCCACCTAAGTGTAAGGCTGTCGAGGTCTTCGGCTGAGCTGCGTCTGGAGCTGCCTACTGCTGGACCCGTGCCGATTCACTGAAACACCGGCCGACCGCTACAGCCGCTGCAGCGTCTGGCCAGCCTGTCACCGAAGGCCCTCTCGACGCCAGCGCCGATGGTCGCCGGCCCGGTCTGGCCACAACAGCAGCCGGCGGCCGGGCGCCGCCGCGCTGCCCTCTCGTGCGGTGCGAGCAGCGGAGCCGCATCATTAGGCGGCGCCGCGTCGGCCCCGCGGGAGCGCTGTCGTCGCTTTAATTGCTGTTCGTGACCGGCGTGCGGTGTTTGTAGGCGCTCACGGCCGCCGCGCGTGCCGGCAGGCTGACGCTGGTGCTGTCCTGTGCCATGAACTTCCAGTACTACCCGCACGACACGCAGCAGTGCTCCATGAAAATCGAGAGCTGTGAGTGGCCGGGCGGCGCTGGCTGACCGATGGCCGGCAGCGGCCGGCCCGCTGGCCCCACCCCCGTGGCGTGCGCAGTGCCCGCCAGCCGGGACTTTCTGCAAGACTGCGCACGCTTGATTAGTGTTCGTGCTGGTCGGCTGTCCTAGGATGGCGTGCGGCCGCGGACCTTGTGACGTTTTTCACCGATGCGGCACGGCATCGTGCTATAGCTTGTTTGCGTTCTCGCTGGCGTGTTCCATCGGCTGCGACATGCTGGCTTCAAAATGCGGCTAATCTTATCGATTGGCGTCACCAGAAGTTATCTGGAGCGAAGGGGATGCCCTATTGTCAATATCTTAAGACATACATGCAAGGCCAGCGTTGAACAGCTTAGGCGTTCGGGCCTAGTGAACTCAGCCTGCTGCCGGCAGGGCCTTCACGTGCGACGTGTGTTAAGGGCGAAGAGTGATGACCCTAGCGGCTGATAACCCTGGCCATGATGCGTTGTCCCAGTGTCGCACACCACGGACGACCCTGGTGTTTCTGTGGGACCGGAGGGTGCGCTAGAGGTGGACCCCATCGAGCTGCCGCAGCTCGACCTGGTCTCCAACGTCACTGGCGACTGCACTCACATCTACGCCACCGGTAACTTGGGGGAGGGGGGCTGGGCAGGGAAAGAGCGCTTTTTACTAAGGGTATATTTTGTTTTGCCTGTCATATCGTTGTTGTAGTTATTTTATGATTTGTCAAGTTGCTTCTGGGTCGTTAACACACGTGCATGGGCCACTAAATAACGCGTCTGTATATTGTTGCGTCCACGTTTGTCCCGTATTTCGCGCGTATCCTGCCAACTTTTATGCCTGTCTCTCTCTCTCTCGCTCTCTCCTCTCTCTGCTCTCTATCTCTCTCTCTCTCTCTCTCTCTCTCTCTCTCCTCTCTCTCTCTCTCTCCTCTCTCTCTTCTCTCTCTCTCTCTCCTCGCTCTCTCTCTCTCTCTCTCTTCCTCTCTCTCTCTCTCTCTCTCTCTCTACTCTTCTCTTCTCTCTCTCTCTATCTCTCTCTCTCTCTCTCTCCTCTCTCTCTCTCTCTCTCTCTCTCTCCTCTTCTCTCTCTCTCCTCTCTCTCTCTCTCTCTCTCTCCTCTCTCTCTCGCCCCCTGCCCCTGTCTCTAACGCTGTAGTCCTTTTTTGTCTTGATCCGTCTCGCGTTCCCTATTTGTCGCCGCGGCCGTGTGTGCCTGCTGAGACGGCGTCTCATCGCCGGCATTGTGCGGGCTGCGCTCCGAAGGCAGCCTCCAATGGCCGGCGTCGGAAGCGCTCTCCACGGCGTTCCGGACGACGCCCGACGCGAGCGCGGCTCCGGGGCCGCCTTCCCAGCCGGGGAGGGAGCTCCGGAGTCGCCAGCCGGAGAGCGGTGATGTGGAACAAAACATGGCAGGCAGTCGGGTCCTGTGTTCTCTGCCTCCCCGTACCCTCCCCGTGACGTCGTCAGACTTGGGTCGTGCTCAGCACAGATACTGACATGGCAGGGCAGGTGCTAAGGCTGCTGGAGATGGATGGCTGAGAAAAACTGGTCGTGTGCCGACGCTCTTTGCGACTCAATGTTGTTCTAGGGAGCTAACGACGACGTGCGCTCCGGTTCGCATCCTGTGGCGTATTACCGTTCGTATCCTGTGGCGTATCCCTCATTAGATCCACTGGTACCTGCGAACATCCAAGACGTGGACGATGGATGGAACAGCTGCAGGGCTTCCGTCGTTGGCAGTATTTTCCGAAGTTTACCGGTGGTCGGTGACGCTTTTTGAAGGGTGACCAATGAGTTCTAGGTTATGTTACGACCAGACAATTTGTCATGCAAACGGCAAAGGTCAGCGGCTAACACCAATTACCAGACGTTCGTTACAAGGCTGCGACACAAATGAAGGCCCGTTTCACCTGACGGTAGCTTGGCACGGCCCAACACGCGCCTCCGTGCCGGAGCGACGGCGGCCCGCGCGTGCTGACCAGACCGGACGGGGCCGACTGGGCGGAGCCGCACCTCTCTCCCTCCCTCTCTGCCGGCGCCGGCGGAGGGTAGCCAGCTGATACCCCGGTGGTGGCGCGACGACACGGCCAGCTGACGTCACATGAGACGTCACTCGGCGCCCGCGGGGAGGGGTGGCGCACCCGGCCGGGCCGCGTCGCTGACGCCGGACCGAGCGCCGGCGGACCGGCCCGCCCGCTGCCGGCCATTCGGCGCCACGGAGCCGTGAACGGTGCGCGGAGGCTGTGCATTTCGCGCCGCCCAGCACGGCGCCCGCACTCAGCCGGCTCGCTAGGATAGACACAGAGCCGTATATCCCGCTGATGGATTACGCCGTCAGCCACTCAAGTCGGCCGGCCGCGGTTCGCTGCCACCCGTGTTCGGTCTTATCTCAGATACGGGTCTGGATTTTCGGCAGGAGCTGTACTGAATTCAACTTTAAACTTTGTTACTGCACTAAATCAGATCATGGATGAAGTACGCATTTCTAGTCTGTTATTATTTTATATTTTTATATGTTATTCTTTTATATTTTATATGTTATATATACATATATATATATATATATATATATATTTATGTTATTCCTTTATCATATCATAGTCCACATCTAGTCTGTTATTCTTGTTGTCTGTTATTATCTATCTATATCTAAGATTGATCTATTTATTTAGTTAAAAATTGGGTATTTGTTTGATTTGGTTTTTGGTCGTTCAATGTGCAAATGCGAATTTTGTGTGAAGGAAGACCGAAAAGATAAAATTATTCACGTCCCATCCGGGGCGTTACCGAAAACTAGTGCAAACACGTTCTTGCAAGTCAGTAATATCACTAGTTCCCAGTGGCGGACAAAGGCTGGGATTTTTTCACACAAAAATCACAACCTGTTCGATATTTACTGAGTAAAGTAATAACATTTTACGTTTTGTGGTCTCCCTGTAACAATCGTAATATAAGGTAACTCGCTCGGACTTGATTGTGATTGCTCGCAGAATAGAGGAGGGATAGAACTGCACCACAAAACCCCTGACCGCCCAGGGTCACATTTCCGCTATTGTATTTGATTCAAGCCGCACCCACTTATGATTCACGGTTCCTACTCAGTTACTTGGGCAAGGATGTTGCCGATCGAATCGTTTTATCTTATAAAGCTGTAGATGATCCCAGTCTTCGACAAACGTGGCGTGGATTGAGATATTATTTTGTTTTACTTTGCTTCATATATACCATAAGACAGAAGCACTTGGTGGAGGTAATGGCCAAGATGCTAGTGTATCCGGCCCTCACGGGAGGTTCCGACTGAAATCGCGGCGGTCCACAGCCTCTGAGCGTCACTGTGATCGCCGTCATCGCTCTCGCCTCGTAAAAGGGTGCCACCGCCCTTCCTTTTTTGAATTTGAAAAAGGAAATGGGTGCAGAAATGATGCCGCGGCACAGCAGCTGCCATGTTAAACTCTGTAATGTATAGAGGAGAGCAGATATTAACAGCACTGTATGATGCCGTTCAAAAGTGGTATCATGCTCGCGGTCAGACAAGAAGCCAAATGTGTCTTGTTTCGTCACTTTCTGCGAACTCTGAGCGTTAGTTTTCTGTTAACCGATGTCAGCCTGTTAAAGAGAAGAGATCCTCTTTGTTACCATGTTCCATGTCCCGTGTCTTTCGGTTGTTACGTCACCGGAACCCTCGCTCGACTACGAAGCAAGCCGCAGTACCGGCGGCCGAGCGCCGTGATGTAGACTGCGCCGCCGTGTCAAGAGACATTGCGGTACAGCCCACAGACGACGCTCCTGCGGACCGCTCGCGCCATATGTTCGGAACCACTCGGGCTGGCTGATTGGTAGGCTTGTTATTGGGGCTTTCGGGCAATTCGGTCGCGTACTGATGTAGCGTCATATGTGACTGGTGTAACTTGGCAGGGAAGGGTAACCGAATAGACTTTAAAGACGTCACATTGCTACTAACCCAGCCCGTTCTGTCGGGATCTGGATTCGTGCGTACGACTTTGAAAACCTAGGTTCCATGCCCTGTTATCAACCACGTAATATGCGTTGCAGGTAGTTGTTGTGCGCAACAGTCGGTAGTTTTAGTGGATTGGTGGTCACAAAATGACACGTGCACGTTACTCACGCCTTCACACTGTTGGCGACGCATTTACACCATTTATATCGTATTGTTGTACGAAATCGGTCGTGAAAAGCTTCTGACGGTGGCGTTGTGTTAACAGCTCGTCCTAAATAGAGTTTACGTCCTGATTTATGGGCCCACTAGACTGTAACCAGCTTCATAAAGCTAAACTGTTACGTACAACTAGCCCAGCGCCGCTATGCAAAATAGACCGCCACCGGGAAGACGAACAACGATATTAAAATAAACGTCAATGCCGTCGTTTTAGAAATTGTACCCCGTTTTATTGGTCAAATCGTGTGTGTGTAAAAGGGTTTGAGTACACTGGCAAAATCAGTGTTGAATAAAGTGTGGTGTGTGGCGCCATATTTCCCGGTTAATATGTCTTCATTGTTGTCAGGAGTGCGCCGCATGCGCTGCAATGATGCTGCAAAGTTTTTGCGATAGCCTGGGTGTTATGGAAGACGAGTGTACCCTAGTGATAGGGATAGGGATGATGGCATTTTAGTCTGTCCCGTTATTGTCAAAGACGAGGAATGCGAGTAGTGATATTCAGTTGTTTGGGATCTGCTATAGCTGTGTTACGTATTTTAGCAACACATTTACCTTTTGTTACAAGACAATAAACTTATCGAGTAATATTTTTGGCTCAGTGCCTTTGACGTCATGCGGACATTTACTTACAATGCTTTATATGAACATGTTTTCTTTGTTACTTTGTCGCTGTGTTAATTTGGGATTATCCGTCTGTAACTGGTTGAAACGAACATGAACTCCAGCCTCGCGACGATGACAGCAAAAACTAATCACCATCCAACCGTCTGCAGGAAGCTTCACCTGCGTGGAGGTGGTGTTCACCTTCAAGCGTCGACTCGGCTACTACCTCTTCCACACGTACATCCCCTACATGCCTGATCGTCATCATGTCGTGGATCTCGTTCTGGATCCGGCCGGAGGCGGTACCAGCCAGAGTCACCCTAGGGGTCACCTCTCTGCTGACCCTGTCCACGCAGCACGCTAACTCGCAGAAGTCCCTCCCACCCGTCTCGTACATCAAGGTAAGATGCAGGGGATTCGTCAGGGCGTACAGCAAGATGGCTTGAGATAGCGGTTTCAAAGCGAGTCCTTAGCTGACAGCTACAGGCCTTCACTGTTATAGAAAGCACTCAGTGAACGGGCACTAGCAAATGACGTTTTCAAGCAAATGCTGATTATGTTGTCAATAGTCAGTGTTTGAACGTTATCATGGTTGAGTGAAGGAGGTTGAGCAAAAACATTACATGAAAAACAGGAAGCGTGGATCCGGCAAATGCTACTAATCTGCATAAATACCGCACTAAAAGATGCCAGAATCTTTAATCTTCCAACAACGTTGAACCTTCCGGCTAAGTCACTGGCTGTTTTATACAGCACTTGGAATAGTGCCGTGTATCTGCTGGTAAGAAGGGAAAGCTCGAATTATCTTTGTTATGTTGACTTCTTTCAAGAAGCTTAAGCTCGAATTTTTATCTCGAATCGTTTTTATTATGTGGACATCTTTTAAGTGGTAGTGTGCACAGATAACAAGTATTTTCTGGATCCACGCCTCTGTTTGCTTAATCTTGTTTACCCCGTAACCATGATCACGTTTGAAAAGTCAAACATTGACAGAAATACTCAAGATAAAACCAAACTCTGCTCTGATGACATATTTAACACGACATCCTGATATATACAAGGCGGCTGGAGCTGGAGGCCGCCACTTGTAGCGCAAGAAGTAAGTAAAATTATGAAAAGCCAGGATTTCGAGAGTCCTTACTGCTTACATCAACCTCCTTGCGCTTCATCTCCAGTCACCAACCCTCACGTCATTCGTTTACGCTCCTCCTCTGCTAATCCACCCACGTGATCAGCGGTACTCGTCTGACCCCGTCCCCTCACCTCCCCCCTACAGGCGATCGACGTATTTATGAACGCGTGCACAGTGTTCGTATTCCTGTCGCTGATGGAGTACGCCATGGTGAACGTCATCATGGGCGACCCTGGTGGACGCGGACGAGTCGCTGATGCGGCGCAGTATCCGCTCCGTGCGCAGGCGGCTGACAGTGCGCAGGAGGCGCCCCGCACGGCGACATCAACAGGGTAGCAGCCGCGGCGAGCCCGCCGAGTCTGGCCACTCGAGCCGGGCACGGGTGTTAGCAGCAGGAGAGGTGGTACGGCTGGGAGCGTTTTCAGCGTGGAGGTTGCAGTAACCGTCCCGCAAGTGGGAAGATCAATCTTTTAAGACATGCAGTTCATTCTATGTATGGGACAAAACCCAATGTTAAAGTTGGAAGGAATAGATGTCATCCTCCAGCAGCCTACTATTGCATTGCGCTAGTCTAGTATGGGTTTCTTATATTGGAGTGCTGCCTTCTAGTCGAAGGGTCAGCTTCTGTCCTGCGACGGTGTTTCGCTAACCAGTCTTCCCTCTTGAGGGTGATCAGGACCTGACTAGATCTTGCCAGCCCGGTTAGAGCTCGCTGCTGCCCTGGGTGGGCCGGCTCACCACACCCAGTCAGAGCCACCTGCTGCCCTGGGTGGGCCGGCTTACCACACCCAGTCAGAGCCACCTGCTGCCCTGGGTGGGCCGGCTCACCACCCCGGTCAGAGCCAGCTGCTGCCAGGGGTGGGCCGGCTCACCACTCCTTGTCAGAGCCACCTGCTGCCCTGGGTGGGCCGGCTCACCACACCCAGTCAGAGCCACCTGCTGCCCTGGGTGGGCCGGCTTACCACACCCAGTCAGAGCCACTTGCTGCCCTGGGTGGGCCGGCTTACCACACCCAGTCAGAGCCACCTGCTGCCCTGGGTGGGCCGGCTCACCACCACGGTCAGAGCCAGCTGCTGCCAGGGATGGGCCGGCTCACCACCCCGGTCAGAGCCAGCTGCTGCCAGGGGTGGGCCGGCTCACCACCCCGGTCAGAGCCAGCTGCTGCCAGGGGTGGGCCGGCTCACCACCCCGGTCAGAGCCAGCTGCTGCCAGGGGTGGGCCGGCTCACCACCCCGGTCAGAGCCAGCTGCTGCCAGGGGTGGGCCGGCTCACCACCCCGGTCAGAGCCAGCTGCTGCCAGGGGTGGGCCGGCTCACCACCCTCGGTCAGAGCTGGCTCCCGCACGGCGGTCGGGACGGCCCTGACGTCTGATTGGCCGTCTGTCCGCCGCAGACGGACGCCGAGGGACTGCCGATGAGTGACGGCCCGCGCGACGCCGCCTCGCTCCACAACGGCGCCATATTCGCGGCGGCGCTGCCCCAGCCGTCGGCCTTCCTGCGCGACACGTCCCAGGAGCAGCGGCACCGCGCCATCCTCGTCGACCGCTTCTCGCGCGTCTTCTTTCCCCTGTCGTTCGTGGTGTTGAACACGGTGTACTGGGTGGTGTTCTACTTCAACGGACCGCAGATGTGAGGGCGCGGCCCAGCGGCGCCCGCCGGGCCGCGATGCTGCGATGCGATGCGATGCGATGCGGTGCGATGCGATGCGATTCGGCCAGCGCGACCCTGCTGGCCTGGTGTCCGGTAGGCGTCGCCCGATCAAATGAACTGAGAGGTGGCGTATAGTATTTTCGGGTGCATCCTACTGGAGTGAGCGGTGGGGTGTGTGTGATGTAACTCAACTTTTGTAATGAAAAGGAAGTGTTCTATACTTTAACCACGAGGCGTGAGCAAACTTATCGTGTTCTGAGGAAGAAATCCCCGCTGTTTATGAAGTTTTGACTAACTCTTATTCTTGGTTCTGACTAGATATTTGGTAGGTGCATCTTGCTCGCTAAATAAGGTATACCTGTATGTCTAGAGCAAGCATCATAGCGGGCACCAAAACGTAAAAGACAGCATCCTTCTAACGCGGGCGTCGTACCGAAATTGAAATATAAGAGACCTGCCCCGTCGCGTAAAAATTATGTCGCGATGCCCGTTTAAGTGCGACGTCCAGTGTTACGCCCTTCTCGTAACATATGAAAGACGGTCGACGGATCTTAAAAGGAGGCGGAACGTAATAGTGGGCCAGTGTCCAACTTTTCACGGATGTCGTGTCTCAAAATATCATTGAGACGAATGCTGTCACATTTGGACGAAATATAATTAATGATGTCACCAAAATACGATCATCTCAGTGGTACTAATTAGCATGCACTCATTACGAACAAACCCTTTGCTTGCGCGTGCGATCCACCCTGAGACATAACGTGAATGACCGCGCCAGAGTTGAAACATGCCTCTGAAATTAAGCCGCGTTCCATTCGTCAACTTCTCTGTATCCATTGCGTGTTTCCGTTTTTAGCGATACGTTTCACTCTTTATGTCACGTTTCAGTATAAGATCCGCCCAATGGTCTGATCAGACAAGCGCTTAAGTCTGTTTTTGGTACGCTTGGGGTGCCTGTACAAAATCCCAGACTATAACCTGGGCATTTGCTGAAGGCACACTTTCGTTACAATCGTCATACTTTTCAATAGCCATCGCCGCTACAGATCGAACATGCCTTTTCTCACATTTTTCGTCTGGTAACGCTTGGCCTGCCTCTGGAGAAGAGGTGCCCTGGGATGTTTGGTCGCATGTTTGACTGACTGGCACGCAACTTATGTTTGCGGTCCCCAGCGTGCTTGAATGCTGAGGACAATTTAAGCGATTATATGGGCCTTAGGAATCGGTTACATTGCAATGAGCTAGTTGTTTGGGATCCCAATTTGAGCACTTTCGGTTATGCGCTACTCGTCTCACATTTTACCAGACGTTACCTTTCGACCAGCTTTCGACGCCTGAAAATGCACCAAGGTGAACAGGCCAATAGATTACTGTTAATCGTTCCAGCATAGGACATCTGGTGTTTTAGCACATAACGCAAATGTTCCTCCAAGATGCAAATTGTGACATCTATGAACGCAAAGCATGGAATTTTCAAGACTAGGCTCTGGTGCTTGTTCATTTTGTACTTGGCTGCGAAATTGTTTTCATTTATGGAAGAGCATTTTGATACGTGCTCCGGTCGAAAAAGTGATGTTTCAAGCAGGATAAAAAACGTATTGTTTTCATATAATTGAGCATAAGATTATTCTGATAAGAACGGGACTGCACGGGCCTGTCATCTAGTGGATTGACATATTACGTAACCGCATCTGCGCAAATATTTATTAAGCCAGTACTTTTGATAGAATGATCATACACCGTTCTTGTTTGGTTCGAAACCTGCCCATCATCAGCCAGCACTTGTGCACTGGGGGACTTCAGATTTTTGCTGAGCAAAATGAGATGTCGCCTGTATTCTACAAATATTGAAGAGCTCAGCGTTTGTGGCAGCATTACACGTCTTGATCTAATCGTGCAGACTTGGTTCCATGATACACGCCTTACAATGCATATGTGGAACATCCATAGAAAAGTCATACTAATGGACAGCACACTTAAACAACGCTATGATCCACCTGTTCACCAATCATGCTTGCGATTTTAGGCTTCTACGATATCCGCGAACACGCAATGTAGCTGTAGCTGATTCGCGGACGACAGCCGTTATTGTGAATGTGAGAGGCGTTGCTTTTCACTTGTGATTTGAGAGGGTATGCTGCATTGAGTTGACAATGTAAACATAAGAGCCCATCTGCTCAATCATAGTCCTTTGTGTCTTGGTTGTCGGGCTGATTGTGTGTTTTGGTCAACAGTAGAGAAGTGCCTGTTGCCAGGTAGACAGGCTTACAATGTTCTGTTGTTTGGCAACTCATTATGCTTGAATGAGTGAGACATTCCTTTTGTCAGTCCCCACAAACGCATAGCTCCATTGTGTGTGTCGATTGCAGATGACGTTCCATTCAGTCATGTCAGTTGCTCTGCTGATAGCTGACCCCCAATAGAGTTAATTACAGCACTGACTATTGTGGTGAACATGGAAACAGGCAGATCGCTGAACTGCGTCACCTTCATTCATGTCTTCTTTACGTTCCCAGTAGATAGCCTTCTACCCAGTTTAAGAATTGGTTTATTGGTCATCCTTTCGTAGATCTCAAAACGCCCAGGTGCTGTCGTCCAGAAATAATCAAACTTGAACTTCAGGGATTACGTCAGAGTAACACACCAAGTCTTTCCCATGGACTAGAACAGTCTTCTTCAGACTTCATGCAGCGGACATGTGACATGGAATCTGACTTGCTTATAAGACATATTTTTCATTTCTTAGAACGTGTTGACTCAGATTATATTCTGCTTTGTTCGGTTTCCATAATCATCTTTTCATAATATTATAGTATTGTCCTGTCTATGCGTTATTTCGTGATTTATTCGACGTCACGAGGAGGTAATGTCTGTTTTAAATACTTTTGTCCGGCACCAGGTCATGACCTGATGGATTTTTACCAACACAATTGAAACTGTTAAAGAAAATAGGTTAGATTTAGACAAGTTATTTTCCCAAAACTGTAACCTGATGAACACCTTGCGCTCGGTCGGGGCGCCGGTAATGTTAAGTAATCCTGGCTCGCACCAGCACCCGTTTTCGTTCTTGTAACGCTGGCAAACAATTCATGCTGACGTCAAAGGTCAACGCTGTGAGTTGAAATGCATGTCCACCACGGCCGGTACTGATAAAGTGCCTGTTGCTGGTGCCGTGCTGCCGGAATCAAGATCCGTCTCTGTGACGTCAGTGCCTTAAAGTGACATTTCCGCCGGCTCTCCAAAAGAACACAATTCTATAACCATAGGCAATGGAATAATGAGTTTAGCATGTCTTTTTGTCTTCTTTTTAATCAGAATCACCAGTTCTGTAAGTTCAACGCTCATCACGCCTCACGCCATAGGTCCACTACGAGCTCAACTTTGAGTGGTCGTAAAGTTGGCCGACTGTGACGACATTCACCCACCTAGCTGCTGTGGCGTTGTTTATTCCCAGCTGACGAGAAAGTGAACGTATGGACATGAGCACACTGGCATTTGTCATCATTCCTAATGTTGCGAAATGTTGCGCGAAACGTTACTGAATCATTTAGAATGTGGCGTCGTGAGTGGGCTGTTTAATGCTTTGCTGCTTTATGTTATGCAAATCCCTTGAATGAATGCATTTCTGTAGCTTTAAGGTTTCATGTGGTGTCGTTTTGCTCGCCAAAGTTAAAGGATGAAGGTTGACGATGCACGCATGCTCATAAAAGGTGTTGCTCAAACTCATCAAGATCAGAATGTTGGAGTGAACAAATGGATCGTAGATATGTGAGGGATCTGTATAGGTTTTAGCATGTTTGGATTCGTCAGCTAACTCACGACATTATTCACAGTAGAGAGAAACTGGTTTGAAATATGTGAATTATTAAGATGCGTGGTAATTCTAATGCTCACACTTGCCCGTTGCTTTGCCTCCTCGTCCGTCTTTCTAGACCTGAGTCAACACACTGAAGGCTTCAGTATTTAAGGTATTGATACATACCTGAAGGGGTGGCGCGTAATGAAAACGTCAGTTAAATATTTCACTCGTGGTTACGGTGGTTGGTTTGCAGTCATCAAGTTACGATGGAGGAAGCGCGTGCGATGTATTTCTTACTGTATCGGTGTGCAATTCCTGTGTTGAAACACGCCGCGGTGTATAAAGACTGCATTCATGTATCATCACCCACCACTGTTCATTCCTGTGCACACATCAATAAACTAGAGATCATACCGCAAACTTTTCCCCGGGATGTGCAAGTTGGCATGCCAGTGACGCTTCCGGCATCACATCTTAATCATACTCAGCTGACTGAACGGCACGAAATATGAACGAGAATGTTGGATAGTTGAGAACATTGAAGCAAGTCTCCGATATGATTAACTAAGCTTACTTATAAACATTGGTATATGATAAAAGGACCACTCTAGACAACGCAATTTTCCTGTTCAGTAATGCACCCCTCAATGCGTTATTGCGTGCTTGCGTCTTGGAACACTCTCATTACGTTGAGGTCTTGTCAAACTAGCCGTGCGCAATTACCACACTAGCAATCCTAGCACACACTTGTACTTTATTCTCACGAGAGGTGGCCGGGGCGATGCTGGAAGTGCCCTTAACCAGATAACCGTTATGTTCTTGTATTTTTTGCGCTTTCCTCGTGGTGTTCCTGCATATTTATTAGCAACCTTGAGGTGCTTACTTATATTACATACTCAGCTCATGTGCTATTTTAAGGTTTTCTATAAGAGGTCACATTTCCATATTTCTTAGCAACCATATCCAACTTCTTTGATTATATAGCACAAACCGTAATTCCCGATAAAAAAAAATCCGACTGTCTTAACCTCTTCGTTCCCTATCCTGCATCCCCGCGACGCCCCGCTTGTACGGGCATGCTCGGAGGGGACTGCGTCCGGACGCCCGGCGCATATTCCGCACAGGGGTCCTTGCCTAGGGGTTAACACGCGCTCTGGTGGGGTGGGGGTCAAATTGACCCCTCCCCCGGAAGGTTTTTTCAGAATGGTCTCCGAGCAACGCGGCGTAGCCGCGCCAAATTTTGCATAGCTGTAGACAATTGAATAGCGGATTGTTTGACGTGAAAAATTAAATGTACCTTGGTCGCTGTCGCTGACCTATCTTAGGTCTTAGGAGATGCTTTCTTAGGCAACACAGCGGTTGAATGAGGAAATTACATTGACCTAAGGTTAGGTATGAAGGACACACAAGGTCAAAAATCAACCCTGGTTTGTTACCTACTCAAGGCTTGCTGGATTGGATATTTTTTGGTGCTCATTTCGAGTGTATTGATAGTAGGAACCGCATTATACATCATCCATGGACTTCTTACAGGTCAGAATAGGTCATTGACCTGAAATGACTCAGGTCAACATTTTGTTTTAGGAACATACTGTCTAGCGTAATCTTTGCCGCTTAATCAAATGTAAAGCTCAAAACAATCTTGCATTATTTTGGTCAACTTGACCTTCAAAAGGTCCAACAAGTTCATTAACCTTAAATGAGCACGTGACCTTTTGCTTAGAAACGGCTATCTAAGTTGTGGGGGCACTTTGAAGACCAACCTGGAACTTGACATTCTTTGACATTACTTGGCCCGAAGGTCATGACCTAGGAACCTGAAACTTTAACCTAAGTGATTTCACGTACAGGTCAGCACACTATAAAATTGGTGTCTAGCTTTCTCAGTTCCCGAGATCTCGGGAGGGTCAAATTACCCCCCCCCCCCCACCCGAGCGAAGGGTATCTAGCCGGTTACCCAGGCGCGTGCTGGGGCTCGGCGGCTGGTCCCTCAGGCACATGTCGTCCTGCCCCACCGTATCCCTTCTCCTTCATTCAATAATCCCGATATGATTATCAGTGGATGAAAGAGCTCTGATCCAAATGCTGCACCGAATGACCTTCAAAATGCCTAATTCAGTTCAAGACCCGATACAAATGTAAGCCACACTCTTTAACCCGTTCCTCGCAACTTACGTTAAGGCATACTCAAGCATTCTAAACATGACCGCTGCTACACTTGGCGTACTACATTCCACACCCAAGCGTGCAGCATAAAAGTTGTGCAGTGTGATACGTGCTCCAGTTGTGTCGCTGGTTTCATTCGTTCAACCTGGGCTATTTTGCTCTACATTCCGAGCGTTCAAAGCAGACGGCGTTGTGGTGCTTACTTCTTGCATCACTTGTCATCAATACAATTCTGACGTTTATTTCGTGTGGAGAATTAGCATTCATTTCCTCACTAACATATCTTGATGCAGCCAATGAATTGGAGGCTGTGCACATTTTACCTCAACGTCGTTTTCAAGTAATCACATCGAACTAACGATCAGCTGGCGCCACCTGCGGCCGCCATCGATCTCCGCCCGCCGATCCATGCTTGCCCTCTGCTGACCCCTGATAGTCCTCCAGCTGACCCCGATTAACCTCTAGCTGATTCCACCCGCTGGCCATCACGACTGCTCCCTCAGCCAACCGCACCATGCAAGCGGTACAGCGCTGCCGCCAGCAGCACGAAGGCTGTAGGTGGGCCGGCGGCACGCGGCGCGCCGTTGCAGAGGTCGCTGGAGCAGGTGCAGAAGTGCTGCACCACGATGCCGTCGCTGGTGATGCGGCAGCGGTTCAGCACGCCGTTGGCGGTCCAGGCGGCGCGGCTGCCGCACATGTAGACGTTACGGCTCTCTCGACGATCCACTGTGGCAACTCGGTCCGGGAATGGCAGGGGCTCCTGCAACCGCCGTGACAGCAGCGTCACCCCCGTTCTCCCTCCTTCCGCTGGCACCGGCGTCACACAAGCACTCAAGTTGCAGACATGCACGAACTTTATCATTGAGAAACTAAGGGCCATACGTAACTGACGAAACCTTTGTCTACGTGAAATAAATTTGACCGCTATAAACCACGGACAGAAATGCGTTCAACGTAAGTAAAAGTTCCTCTCCTATTAATTGACTTTAAAATCCTTGCTGAGATAGAGCAGCCTTAATCGATTTATTAAGTAATTTTCTGTTTTCTCTGTTTTTTAAATGAATTCTGGCATTGATGACATAGGCTGCGTGGCCATGCGTAATATTGTTTGTTCTTGTAACATAGCCTATCATTACATTAGAAACGCAGACTTTTGTGTCGGTGGTCTGGCACAAACAAATACTATGCAGCATGCGGTTGATCTTCAGCGACTTTCACAGAAAACCGTCAGACAACCATGGACTAAAATCACTTCCGTCACCTGCTAACACACGACTGCAGCAGCATTCTGCACAGCGCCTACAGCCTGCTGTCAGTACGCCCATAATTCATGTGCATTCACGCACACCACACCCAGTTTGTGTTTGCCTTAGGTTTGAGCTGTGTCGACCATAGTTTAAAATTTCAGACCAATGAGATTGATGTGAGAGCCGAGAGGCTAAATGAGCGGCAGTGCTGTGGCTGTCACAGAACGTCGCCCCCCCCCCCCCCCCTCAGTCTCGCAGCGCGCAGGCACCCTGCGTCGAGGTCTGCTCCCGCCCTGGTGTTGCTCCTCCCAGCCGGACGGTCATGAGACGGACTCATGACTGATCACCGCAGCGTGCACACGGTAAGGCGAGCCTTTCGGAGGAAACAGGACGAATACGGGGTGGGTGTATTGGTTCACCTGACGATGGGAATATCAAGAGTAACTCAGCTTCGAAACCAGATACTATGCCTTACCTAGCTCGTATTTCTGCCCGTACTCAACTGATTGCATTTAGGCAGTCTTAGATATCGTGTACCACTGACTGTGCGGGCCTCAAGTTACAACCATGTGCACCAAACCTTCATCACGCTGATGCTGCCAAATACGCCGCAGGCTATATTTTCTCTGTAACATAGCCTGGACCCAGACCAGTCGGTCGGTATACCTGGACCAGACCGGACCTGGACCGGACCTGGACCAGTCGGTATAAACCTTTGATGTGAAACGCGCTCCGTCATAGAAAGTTACCGTGAGAATGTGTTGTTAGATGGGCCGATCAGCACCTAAGTCGGCGATGTGCTCACCGGGCAAATCTTCTGGCCCCCGCCGGTGCCGTTCTGGCCGTCGGCGGGTCTGTGCACATGAGAGCCGGCCGGCTGATCTGGCGGGTGCTGATGGCCGCCGGGCCCGTGGTTACCGTGCCGGCTGTGGGCGTCATGACCGTCGTCATGACCGCCGGCGTGCCGCCCGCCGGCACCGCTGTTGTCGACCCCGCCGGGGCTCCGGTCGCGCCAGCGCCCGCGGCTTTCGAGCCGTTGCCGGCAGCGACACCCGCGGGACCTCCAACTGAAGCTGTAGTTGCCAGATGGCCGCCAGAGGCGCTGGTAGTGCCAGCACCGCTTGGCGGCGTGATCCCGCGGCATGCGGCGTTCTTGTCCAGGGAGTCGTAGTATCGCTTCAGATCACTCCCAGCGAAGTGTTGCTCGTAGTAGCCTGACACTGCACACATCAAACCTCTGGGAGTGCCTCGTCATGGCTTTTGGAACGGTTGGCGGCAAGCCTCAGCGCTCGAAGACGGAAAGCGAGAGAGAGAGAGAGAGAGAGAGAGAGAGAGAGAGGGAGGGAGAGAGGAGAGAGAGAGAGAGAGAGAGAGAGGAGGAGAGAGAGAGAGAGAGAGAGGAGAGAGGAGAGAGAGAGAGAGAGAGAAAGAGGAGGAGAGAGAGAGAGAGGAGAGAGAGAGAGAGAGAGAGAGGAGAGAGAGGAGAGAGAGAGGAGAGAGAGAGAGAGAGAGAGGAGGAGAGAGAGAGAGAGAGGAGAGAGGAGAGAGAGAGAGAGAGAGAGAGAGAGAGAGAGAGAAGAGAGAAATATATATATATATATATATATATATAGATATATATATATGAAACATCACTTCCCACTTGCCATCCGCTAAAGGTTACAAGCGTTTAACAGCAGCCGGTATGCTAGACATGGCGTTTCTGGAAAGTACATGTGAAAAACACTGAGTACCCCAATATAACAGCACTGAGCACTCTAACACCAAAATAACTCTCGACCAAAACTTCTGGGGAATTCAGGCTCCGGTAAATCGCGGAGGCCTCAAGTAGTCATACGCCTGGAGGCCGGCGCAAGTAAGCACTGCAGTGAGCTCTCAGTTATGGCACACTTTGGACACGTGCGGTGTGCCCCGCAAAACCTGAACGATATACATTCCTTTCAGAACTGTGCCGTAGCCGTGTTTCTAATTTGTTGTTCAGTATTGATACTATCAGTGTTTATGCTCTAGACGGACGGTCAGTAAGTCCAGCTGAAATTCCTAGCAGGACAATCAATAGAGCGGTCTTGCCTTCTGAGGCGTGATACCTTTGGCTTCTCTCATACACAAAGAGAGCATCGTTAGAGTATCATGCTCAGCGTGCTCGTACTCCTCCTCCCGCCCGAAATAAAAACATCTTCTTCTTCTCCAGTGTAAGGGTAGAATCATAAACTGAATGAGGTTTTACATTTCCAGCGACAAATGAGCATGAGTACTACATTGACATAGAGGTTAAGGGCATGAGCTTCAACGTAACAAAAGGAAGGCCGCTATCGTTAATTTGTGCTGTCCTTTTCGTATTATCACCGACTTATATCTACCGATGTTCTCAACTTTAACCCTTTATCGGTCACGCTTGGCGCCTTCGTTGCTGATGAGTGCCTGACAGGTATATCTTTCCCCCATGCCAGTCACAAAACCCTCTTTATACAACCCCACATTTTACTCCCATCTTTATCCTACTCTAGTTTCATCTTAGCCTGCACGACATCCTTCCACACTGACTTGTGTGCATTGCGACGGCTGCGAGAATAGCGGGCTGGGCCAAGTGGGGGGGCATCGAAGAATACGATATAGAATATACCGATTTTCATTCAAAGAAGCAAGCTGATAGATAAGTGACTATAAAAAAAAATACTAAATGTATCCCAATGTCCGTGACTATGGATTCACAGAACGGTAAAATTGCATAAAAAGCGCGCTCAGCCGGGGAAGTTGACCTCCTCTACGGTTCTTCGAGCACAGATCAATAACAAACGCTTGGAGCAGCACAAAATTGTCGTATTTATTTCATCCATCAATTTAACATTATTTGTGTATGTCAAGCTTTCATCTGCCAGGATCAGTGGCCTAGGCTAGGCTAGAGGTGCACTTCTAAAAATATATGTCCACACGTAATTCGTCGGGGTCACTTGCCGTTGTTAAAAACTCGTTATGAACATGAAACATAATAGTACTTGCAGCTTATATCTTTCTGATCTTTGGAAAATGCAAGGTAAGTTACCTCAGTTTAGGGTTAATTTTGCTATTTTGAATAAAAACTAACTTTGTTCGTATTCTTAGGTAGTTTTGGTGTTGTTATATGAGGTAAAGAGTGCTACTCATATGCATAGCCAGCATATGACCACAAAGCACATTGTCTTGGCGCAGGTCATGACCCACCTCTATGGGTATTTTCTGTAAAACACATACTGAGCTCAAAATAGGCAGTTTTGATATGTAATTTTTGACGTGGCATTCCAGTACCCTGCTGAAAAATGTTGTAATACCATTATAATGCATAATGAAGTCACAATGGGTCAAATGAGGATATACAAGGCCATGTTAGGTCAGCTAAGGTCATGTAAAGTCATGCAATGCCATTTAAGGTCATGTAATGCCATTTGAGGTCATATGAAACATCTAAGGACATATGCGGTGATCTAAGGTCAATGGCATCTGATTCAGGTAGCGGAGAGACTAGATGGGCGAGCGCGTCGCTCGTAACTACCTCCTTATCGTTTTTGTAAAGCTGGTGACGTATAATCTCATGTAACAATGTGTATGTCTTCAGTTTGCTACCAATGCATTGCAAGGCGTCGAAGAGACTTTGTATAATATAAACAATAGCTATGCGATCTTGATAACCTGTAGATGTACAATACAATATTTCTGATCACAAAAACATTGTACTGGTCACATAGAACCGGTTAGCACTTCAAATTTGTTCATTTTGATGGTTTATGAATGCGAGCTAAGTTGACCTTGGGTGACCAATAGTTCAGCCTTAAAAGATATGCGTGTGTCTTGAAAGGTTTTGGCCCACAGGTGTACATAATAAGGTAAACTTATCCTGAAGCGCATCGCGAAAAAGTAATGTTTTTGTAGACTGTTGGTAGGCCAGCTTTAAACGCTGGCTTGACCTGACCTGACCCTTTTGGGGAACAGAAAAGGTCAAAATGGACTTCCCACAGTCTTAACGCTTATTTTCGTGCCCTCAATATTCATCTGTACGTGTCCGACGTGGTGTGTAACATAGGTTTAACTGTATCTTTCGAAATGACTGTTTTTGACATTTTGCGACCTTTGGTGACCCCAAATTTGCCCTAAAGCCAAAACAATTATAAACATTCTCCTCGATTTTACGAGTTCATCACAACAGCATCTTTATTTTCTCATACGGCATCTGAAAGAGAGAGACGCCAGAGGGAAGCCAGCTTCTCCCTGGTCGGGCGTGGTTGTCTCAGACATCGGACGGAGCGAAGGTTAAAGTACGTGCGATGAAAAGTCACCACAAAATGTTGATTGGCAAACATTGCCCAGTAATATCATCATTACACACGTCAACATGCATCAACACCTATCAACACATATGTGAACACTACTGATGTCACACATCGCTAAAGGACAATTCACCATGCCTTCTTTTGTGTTATTTTAGGCATTCATTGCACGCATCCTTCGTCCAATATCATATTTCTCTTGATACGCATATGCAGGTGCAAACTGATACAAATTTAGCGTGAATGAGTGCGAATAGATAGGAGTTGAATAGGAGTTGAATAGGAGTAGAGTAAAGAGTTGAATATGATTTTCAAAGCCGCAAATATATTAACTATATAGCAAGTCGCATTCCGCACCATAAAATAGCAGCATACACATCCAACGACTAGTCTAGATACTTCCTTGGCTCATAAAACCAGTCCAATTCAAGAGCTTAACGAAGCACATGGCAAGGTTGGTTGGGCAAACCACATTGATCTGTCGTCGTGTACCACCATGTATGAGTTTGTTCCACACAGTAGTTTAGATAATTTCTTTATCGCAACCTCTGGATGCATCCATGTCATGCAAACGGTGTTCTACATGCTGCAGAACACATGAATAAGACTTATATCGTATACAATTGCTACTTGAATGCTTAAGTACTGAACTAACTCCTCCGAAGTGCCGGAATTTAAATCTCCCAGTAGCATATGAGCATGCCACCCAAAAGCTGTTCCTTGAGCCACACGATGTCGTAAAAAATCGCACACTCCATGCATAATGGAATTGTTACGACAAAGGTTAGAAAAAAACACGCGAAAATCGGTGTCATAGCCCCATCCGGAGATATAGGGTAAATGAAATATGGTCTTAATGTTGTATGCAGTGCATAACTCAGGAACGTACCTTGCAAACCCAACTTCACGCATACTGCATCGCTTTCCTTGCATGTCTTGGTGAAACGTTTATTGGTATGTCCACCTTTCAGTTCATCATTTTTGCATTCCGTGATCTTGCTTGCTGTTGCAGACGAAAACATTGTAGTCCTAGAACACCAATATGTTTCCGTCAGGTTAGATTTGCCTGTTAAATGGGCAAAGCACGGCTTGACATAATTACATGATATCTATGGTGTCAATGCGTACAAATATCTAAACATCGATAAAAACTTTTTGGATTACTTTGCGGACAATAATTGACCTGTCTTATACCAAGAGACACTGGCTGCCCAAAGTTGTCAGACAAACACAAGTTATATTTTGATAGCTCATAAACTTGCATAAATTTACATAATTTGACAGCATTGTTTATCTAATACTTCCTGGCATATCAATGTCGATTATTGCCGCTATGAGTACCATAATGCCGAAAAAGCAGAAGCTCATTGCCTTTCTTGCTTTTATCAAGTATGCACTGGAGAGATTTTGGACCTCACCTTCGATGCGCTGTGGCAATATAAATATTTGTGTGTACAGCACGTACAAGGTCAGAGGTAGAATTTTGCTTAAAAGCATAGCCTGTAATTTGTCAAGCCAGTATGCGATTGAGCAAGTTTAACTCAAGTCTTTTAATAACAAGCGCAATTTTAGTAGTTACTCGATGCACTTCACGGCACATTAATGCGGCATCCTCAAGAGCTGAAAACGTCAGCTAATGCAAGTACTCTAGTTCCTTCACTTGATAACATCTTGTTAAAGGCATTGAGCGTCTAGTCTAGATATAACAAAGCATTCCAAATCTGCCTTAGGAAAACGTGACATTGCTTCTTGGGGACCATCATTTCAAAGCTCCATTTGCTGGCATTTGATACAAACTTTGCCCCAAATATTGTCTCAGACTAACGCAATGTGTAAGTCGTTCAGGTGAAATACGAACGATTTCAGCTGCAAACGCGTACAGAAAGCAGAGATTCAGAATGGCGACAGAGCTAGGAGATTTGGTTACTAATATGAGTACGTTTGCCTCGACTTGCATTGGGTGCGTTTAGTGGCACGCACTGGCACACAATAAACGGTGGTTATGTTTTATATGAGACGGAATAAATTTTCAGAGCGTGGTGCATTTTGTCATGACTTTCAAACCAAATTAATACTGTTTGACATGTCGAGAAGTATGTAACATACTCTTGGCGCACAGGTTTTGCTATTTGATATTTTCCGCTCCGAAGTACGTTCTGATTTGTTTCCACGGATGGCATCCCCTCCCGAAAAAAACAATGTTGCATTATTTCCGGGTCTGATACATGCCATGATGCAATTAGCGGAATGCACAATAATTACTGAATGTCGAGCCTTGGTTAGGTTCGGTTTAAATAAAGTACGTTTTTGTGAAATTTTCCGCAATGGCGGAATAACTGCGACAAGGTTCCCCTGTCTCTCGAACTACTAGAGCATACATTTACGTCAACTAGCAAAAAGTAAGAAACATGTTACCATACAACCTACAAAAGCCTGTTAGCGTTCATGTAAGCCAGCAAACAGGTGAGAACGTCTTACCACGTTATTTTCAACGATCCGTGCATTGCGCTCATGCCACTGAAAAAATGAGAATGCTTCCCTTGTTTGTTGAGAAAAGGATATTTATTAACAAGAATGCCTAATATTTTGTATGAAGAACCTTAAATGCTTTAAAAGCGTTGTCTGTTTTTAAAAGGGAATAAAAAACCTATAGTGCTACAACGCGGCTGTTCCGCTCTAGGGGTCTTTGCCAATCGCCAGCTTGCCATTGTTTTGTTACCAGAATAATTTTACGATACTTCGACTGGATTTCAGCGAGCTTGCCTGCACCGCTGTCTTTTCACTATTTTAGGTTCACTTGAAATGTCAGACCTCTGCGACCTCGGATTACGAAGGTACAACGTTGCTCTTCTGGAAATGTCATGTTTAAAATGACGAGCTTAGTGAAATGAGATCGAAAAAGCTCACCCTGCACGGGACTTTTGTCCATCAACTGTGTTGTCTGGCAAAAAAGTCAGATGCAAAACTACGCGATGAACAGGATCGGTCTACGTTGGGCGGTAGGTTCAGTGTGCATCCAGTCAGGTTTCCTTTACGATCGCCGTCATTATGTTGCGGCAGCTTACTTGCATAGGACGTCTGCCTCTGGATTTCCCAACCGGTGGCAGGCAGGATGAGTTGGAGTCGTGTTAAACGCTTGCTATGCGCCCTTGACAAGGATGACGGGTAGATGGTGGTAATGGCCGCGCTGGCCAAGTGATGTCATTAGACAAAACGGATCGTGCCGAGTTTTGTGGTACACCAGAGTTTAACAAACACAATATTTGCAGTTGACCTGTAATTTTAGAGGGCACAGGCACAGGCGCTGCCTATCGCTGGCTTGGTTCCCTTAAATCCAGCACATGAAAAGGTTTGGACTGCATCTTATATCACATCCAAAAACCACACATGAAACCGTCCGCAGTTAAAGTTAAAAGAAAATCCGCTGATGATATCTGATCCACCTTTACATGTTGTAACGACCTGGTGACCTTTCTAAGTCAAAAAGGTCATTGAGATCGCATTAATTTACTTGGCCTTTTCACCGAGCCTTATCGTCGTGCCCCGCAATGTCGGGTTGAAAAAGCCTGATTCCTACAGCTTACATTTTTCCTGTAACTCTACAACGTGGAAAGCATCAAAAGGAATGAGTGTGTAGAGGTACTATATTTGTTGCTCTTATTAGCGTCAGGACAGGTCAGAGGATGTTTAATCACCAGGTATAAGCACCAGTTTGACTTATGACCCGATATTGATGCATTGTTATAGGCCACATGTTTGGTAATGAATGCAAGAATATGGCCCAAAACCACCTATATAACAAAATGCTTTCGCTCATCATTTCACACAATTCATTTTGACACCGGCGGTTTTGAAATAAAAAAATGCAATGGTGGATTAGCGCAAGTAGCTAAAAACTCAAATCGCAGCACTTCTCTAAACAAAGTGTTCTGCGGAAAATGAGAATGGGTTATCGTTGCAAAAGTCGCAGGCACGCCGACCCAGCCTAGGGTTTGCTTAGCGGGATGCAGCCTGGCCAAGAATCTTGATGGCTCCCCGCCGGCGCTGAGCTGTCTGCGCGGAAGTTGGCTGCTTATGGGGAGCGTCGGAAACACGATGGGCGAGGATCAAACGAGGCTAGCCAGCTGGCTGCCATGATGATTGCAGAGGCTCTTGCCAAAACGTCGAATGATTACTGGAGTTTGGCCGGACGAGGAGTAGGAAAACAGAGATCTTGTTCGCACTGATACAGTGTTCTTGTCGGGTGAGAGTGAAAAGAAGGCAGAAAATTTTTAAACATATAAGCTTATGGTTAGCTCTCCGGTGGCACAGCGTTACCCGGTGGAAGTCACGTGCTCATGAATCACCTTCTGGATCTGTCACAGCAGTTGCGTCAACTTGCCACTGCATTTTTCCGTATGGTGTCCCTAAGCGGAACAATGAGGCAGCGGACGGCATTAGCATCATTAACGAATCAACTTATGACGTAATTGTCACATGGCTTGGGATGACGCAAGTGTTAGTTTTCAACGCCAGTCACCTGGCGTATTTATTGCGGGCATCGAGAGTTTCAGGTTACAGCCTCCCTAAGTTTGGCTTTTCACAGGTCCGAGGAAGCTGAAGCAAAAAGCAATCCCCTCAGCGACTTGCGAGAAAGAGTAGACAATACACACGTTATCCAGTTACACTTCATCCCTATTAGTTGCTAATTTATTCTTCAGACACCTAATGAGTGACATAACCTCTCTTCGTGTCCTTAGTTCATCATCATGCAACACGCAGGTGCACGCATGATACTAATTTGCCCCGCAACTTGAGCAATAGTAAATGTATGGGAAATAAGCTGTTTGCAGATAACATGATACAATCACTAGAAAGGAACTTTTTACTAAGCCTGGGCGAACCCTCTTCGAAGTCGACCACAGTTTCATAGATACCAGTTTTTTAACGACCGATACAGACGGTGATTACGCAACCATTTTTGTGATATGTTGGCTTAAGGGACTAACGACTGACCTTCCTGAGTGAAGCTTATATGGCATTCATAGGAACCATACCCAGCTCGTAATAGTGCTATTGACGCCGGCATTGCATGATCAACGACAGGGCCACACACTGAGAGCACCCGCACGTGCGCACCTCCACGCCACCGACAGAGAGCACCCGCACGTGCGCACCTCCACGCCACCGACAGGGAGCACCCGCACGTGCGCACCTCCACGCCACCGACAGGGAGCACCCGCACGTGCGCACCTCACACCACCGACAGGGAGCACCCACGTGTGCACCTCCACGCCACCGACAGGGAGCACCGCACGTGCGCACCTCCACGCCACCGACAGGGAGCACCCGCACGTGCGCACCTCCACGCCACCGACAGGGAGCACCCGCACGTGCGCACCTCCACGCCACCGACAGGGAGCACCCGCACGTGCGCACCTCCACGCCACCGACAGGGAGCACCCGCACGTGTGCACCTCCACGCCACCGGGCTCTACCAAGAGAGCGGCCGGGCAGCCGCGACGCACTCGTCCTCGCGCCTGGGCGGACACTGGCACGACACCAGCACATGTCCTCCCACCCACGCCGCCTGTCAGGGCCTGAGCTCACTGGCCGGTCCGCGTCGGCGCCGCCGACACCGCGACCCTTACGAGAACCGCTCCCACAGCTCCTCCCAGTCGACCGCATACACCAGCCAGTAGATGGCGTTGAGGACGATGAACGAGGTGGGGAAGAGCACGCGCGAGAAGCGGTCGACGAAGAGCGCCTTATCGCGCCGCTCGAGATGCCGTGCCCTGTGCTGGGAGGCCTTGGCGGCGGCGGAGCTGGGCCCTGCGGTAGGGCCGCCACTGCCGCTGCCGCTGCCGCAGCCGCAGCCGCCGCCGCTGTCGCCTGAGCACGGCTTGGCGTGGCTGGGGCCGCAGCGGTGGCGCAGTGAACCGTTCTCTGCGCCCTCCTCCAGCAGGTGGCCGTGGCGCGGGCAGGCGGAGCTGATCTGCACGGGTGCGCGCGTCTCCTGCGGGCGGAAGATGGCGCTGATCAGGCGCAACGCCGAGGAGGCCGCGCGCTGCGAGCACCCCGCTGGGGAGGCGCGGCCGCGCACCATACCACACAGCACACGTCCGCGCGAACGGGGATCGGTGCTCATCAACGGAGGGGACGCTTTCGATCACGGATGCATTTGTGTTTCGTGGTGCTTAGTAGTTCTTTACACTTTAGGTACCCGCGGACGTGTGGCATAAATATATCCATAACTGTGGTGAAGGCCCTTGCCATAACCGTGGTAAAGACTTTCTCTACTACCTAGTAAAGTAACACTTTCGATCTTCTAATGGGTCTAGCTATTCATCATATATTACAAAACAATGACACCTTACAACCACGTGACCGGTTTTCTCCCATTCACACGATGCTTGTGTGTATTGGGACGTCAGATCGATAGCCTTGGGTCACAAAATAGCTTAGACCACCCACATATCCGGGTGCACAGAACACTGACGTTTCACTCATCCTTATTCCTTCCCTCGTGTCCATATTCCTTCCCTTGTGTTCATATCCCTTCCCTTGTGTTTATATGTTGTATGTTAACTTGTGCTACGCATTTTACTATGCATTTTTGTAGCATTAGCTATCTATTTCATCATTTATGAGTCCTACAGCTGCCGACCTAGAACCTGGGTAAAATGGACCTCAATATGTTAGCTTGCTGCAAACATATCCTTTCAAGAGATTCCTTACCAACCCCAAATGAGCACGGCAGGAGGTAATGCGTGCTGAAGTGCCTGCGGACTGGTATTCCCAGGCGGAACGCTGATGCCTGTTATAGACAGCGCCATTCCGTCTGATGGCTCGCGCGACGGTAACATCAGCGTAACGGGCTCCAACTGATCAGGTGGCGGTCCAAACGGCCCGGCAGGGATTCCACCACTGGTCGCCTGGCTGGGGCGCGCTCGTCGGCACCGGCTGCTGAGGGCTGCCCAGGGATAGCTGCCGCCCGTCTGTCACAGTTCCCCGGAACATTCGCACACTGAACTGGCGATGGATGGGTCACGCCTGGAGCCATCAGCACCACGCTGATGCAAGGGGGACGGGAGGGGGGCGGGGGGGGGGGGGCAGGCAATGGCCTGTACTGCGCCCCGAAACAAGCAGTGACCGATACGGCCGCTGTGCTGCAGCGGTTACAGTAGCCGGAACGGGTCCAGAGATGATGAGTCGAGTAACTTCAGTAGACGGACAGACTTATCGGTTGAATCAAATGTTGATTCCCACATCTAATTAATGAGCTTTGCGCCCATATTTTGGTAATGTGTGCTCATTGTGGTGGTACAGTGTTCTGGAAAGCAGCAGCTGGATAAAAGGATCGCAACGTGCTTAGTCTGTCGTATGTATGTGCACAGCGACATGTATTGGCAACTACACAGACGCGCAGATACATAGCGCACGACATATGTTAATACCTATACATGCTAAGATAGCCTACGCACTCTAACAAGGGTAACCTGGTTGCTCACTTCCAACGTAGAGGGGCAATTACAATGGAAAGTTACCAAAGATAAGAGCACGCAGAGATGTTTCAACACGAGTTGGTAAGAGTGCAGTCATAATCTTCTAAAATTTGTTTTGGGCCTGACGTAACTTCCTTTTGCCCTGACTATGTGTCGGCCTCCTAACGTGGCAAATCGATCAACCTTAGAACCTGCGGGTGGTTTGCGATGACTTGTTCATGTGTGGGAGCGACACCGGGCTGCCGGGCGGCGCGGCAGGTATCCTTCATCACAAAGGTCAACTGATGCATTAGTCCACACGATGAAAGTGCGAAATATCAAGTGGCAACATGACAAATTTAAAGGGAGTGCGAATAGAAGGCAACGAACGAAATTCAAAATGTGATGGAAAGTTACCAGGAAATGGACGACATGCTAGCAAATCTACAACATCGGTGAGCAATGCGCCGCAACGCCTCGGCTGCGTGAAGGAAAGATCACACTGAGCACGCTTCACGCGCACTGGCGGAAATATCACACGGAGCGCGCCGCAGGCGTACTGGCGGAAAAATCACACTGAGCGCGCCGCAGGCACACTGGCGGAAAGATCACACGGAGAGCGCCGCAGGCGTACTGGCGGAAAGATCACACGGAGCGCGCCGCACGCGCACTGGCGGAATGATCACACGGAGAGCGCCGCGGGCGTACTAGCGGGAAGATCACACGGAGTGCGCACCACGCGCACTGGCGGGACACTGACCAGTGCGCTCTTTATGTATGAGTTTGATTCCTTGTGCTGAATAGGGTATGATTTATCGTGCCCGCGAGTGTAATAACCTGCGACGACAAATGTCTAAAATGACTGAATGCGAGACATTCGCCCAGTCATATTCATATGATTTGCAAATCCACAACCCCTTAAGAAGCCCGATCATTTTCCTTCTCGCACGGCGTCCTATTTGACCCATCTTGGTCCGAATCCACACATGATGAAACAAATTAAATCTTGCAACAGAAAATTTCCCCAGAGACCACAAGGCGTGATGTGTAGAAAAACACATGAAGTGCAAGCATCTAAATGCTTCACGAACGTCCACCAAAGGTACAGTCTATCCCAGCTGCCGCTTGCCTTCGCGTTTGCGCTTGCGACCATCGGTCAACCAGCATGATGCCGGCATCGACTGCAGCGGACGTCGGATTCAGTCTGCGACGATCGACGGTTGTTCAGTCAAGCTGCCCCAACGATCGATATCGGTTCTATCGGGCTCATTCCCTCCCGACAGATGGCTCCTGCTCCAGGCTCAGGCTGTGGCGGAGGACGTAGGCTCCGCCGAGCCCCGTCTCCGGTGCCTAGCGGTCTCCCCACAAGACCCCCTCCCGTATCGGCGACGCGCGTGGCGCCACCAGGATCATTTTCTGACGACGACCGTGCGGTGGGCCTTGAATGTTTTCCGCAGCTCGCTACAAATGAGCCTCCCGCACGTGTCACGTTGGCAATCAATCAGCGCACCGACAATCTGCAGACGAACAATCAGCGGGCCTCCGCCGGCCGCACGGAAGAGATCCCGGCTCCTCACCGGAGGCGGTGACGTCAGGTATGATGTCAGGCACGGCTGCAGATTGGCCGACCTGGGAGATGGGGAGCAGCCGGTGCGGATTCAAGTGGAAATTGCAATGACCATCAGAAGCGCCAGGCCGCGGTTGGATTACCTCAGATACGACGCGGCGCGCGTTCGGAGGCGGGTAGAAGCCAAATCCGAGCTACCGTTATGGACGTGACCCCAGAGAACGCAGTCGGCTCACGCTCGCCGAGCAGGCGGCAGCTTCATTGATGCTCCATGGCAGAGTGGCCGATGACGCGTTTCACGTCCATCCCAACGATCCGCAATGCATCCCACAGACCAGCTGAAGTGGCCAGAGGTCACCGAACTGCATGACTCTACCCCAAACGGTTCAAAAACTTCGCCCGGACGTTCTGAATCGATCTTTCGGTCAAGCAAAGGAAAGGAGCTACAATAGATCACGTCACATTAAGTGTCAGTATTCAGGCATCAAGACAGGCGATCAACCGTATTCGGATTTTTTAGGATGACGTTTTAGTAAAAAAAAGTTAGCGGCGTGATGGATGGTGAACACGCACTCGGGTAGTGTTCAATGTAACGTGTTCGGGGGGAGGGGGTTGAATGCGACGTGTTCGGGATAGGAGTCAAACTGACATCCTTCATGAGATCTCTAACACTAAGGAACCTAAAGACACAAAATTCACACAGTTGGTTAGCGAGCATGCGAACTCGCGTCAAATTTCGATGTCCCTAGATCATGAATTTCGAGCCACATGAGGCCGCACAAGGCTAATCTTCAGACTGGTGTCTGGAGCACGCTCTCAGACCTCCTATTGCAACCATCGTTAACATAGCTTCATCTTTTAAGCAAGATGTCACTGTTATCTATTTCGGTTCAGTGACGTTATCTTACCATCGGAGGGCCAAGATGACCAAGCACCTTCGAGATAATTAAAGTTGTGATAATTACATTCAAGTGTCAAGGACCCCGTAACGTGGTACGTTCCTAAAAAGATTGAGCGGTTTCATTTCAGAGCAGTGGCCTTTTCTCGTCTCCAGGAAGTCCCAGTAAGATGCCTCCGACGTCTCTCTGACCATGAAACTCAAATGCGCTTCGAAAACTACCTCATAAATCAAGTTCTGTACTAAAAGAGAGATTCGACTTTGAGCCTCGGCCTGACCTTCATGCCTGACCCAGGTCAATGGAACTAGTCTTAATCCTAAAGTAAATTGTCCAATTGTATAAAGTACTCATGGGAACGGGGTTTGTACGAATACCATAAGGCGAGGTGTATCCATTGTGTTTTTGCCTGCATCTTCAACATGCTAATATGTCGGGTCATATATAGGCAGAATATTTAATTGCGGGGCAAGGTGTCCTGACCTTCAGTCAATAGTGCAAACTCCAACTCCAACTTCAAATTAGTGCCGACTTCAAGTCAGCACCACGCATTCACACCGTACTCGATTCCACCTTCACTGCACATGCATTTCATTGATTTCGAAACGCATGGCACCTTAAATTGCTTGGTCTTCTTTCTTAACGACGGGAAACGATTTACATAGGGATTTTACCTGGCCCATTTTCTTGTGGTCTTCCCCTTTTCTAATTTTGTGGCACTGAACGCTAAGCCTTTCTTAATTTACCCTTAAGGCATCCTGCCAACTCGGGGAAGAGAGTTAATTTGTTCCAAAGTGCGCTGATTTGCATCCTGGCAAACACACCAAGCGCCATTACATTACCGCCACCTGACTCGGCGAGCCACGTACAGAGGTTGCCGTCTTTGGTCTGTCGGATCCAGCAACGACATTCACAGTTGTGAAACCCCTCCGGGTTACCTGTTGACAAACATGGCGCCCACCTCCCTCTCTCTCCGAGCGGCCGTCCAATCGATAGCCTGCCCGGCAGCAGCGCCGCCGGTACAGGGACACGGCGGTGCAGAGACGCCGGTGCGGAGGCGCTGGTACAG